CTTCTGCAAGGAAACTCCAAGGGAAATTATACTGCGGCACAATAAGTTACACGGAGATGGAAAACGACAAGACCCGTGTGTGTGTATTGGCCACTGGCAGCATCGTTAGTTGCGTGATTTATATATAATTCTGGACTTTAAAATTAGAACTACGCAATAAAAACTATCGCCTACACTACATAAAGGAATATCTTGTTAAGAAAATGGTCAACACAAGCGTACTGAACGAAGTTAATGAAAAAACCATGTTTTTTGTAACCTCAGAAACATAAACTATATTTTGTAGCAACTAAGCCACGCTGTAATAAATGATTTAAATGAGTATAACAATCTGAAAATATTCAGAACACAATTTTACAACAAATGATATATCAGGTCATTTTAGCGTCTCGAAACAACATTCAAGTCAATGCGCTACGAGACAGAAACGTGAATCGTGAATATTTAACAATAATCTCAAAAGAACCACTTCAATTATTCTACGAAAATGATTACGTTCGAGCGGTTTCTTGTACGAATCGTTCGAATAATTTCTTTCGCAATTTTCGCGATGAATAAATAAATAAATCTATTTATTCAATCCGACGTGCAGAACCAGTCCAACGGGCAGTGACGTGGAAACATGCGTTTTCATTACAGTAGAATTCGGTTCAGTTCTTGTATTAACATCAAAAAGATTTTTGTTTACTTCAGTCACCGATTAAGTTCACTTAATATTTTTCTTAAACAGAAGTGAAATTCTGTATAGCAAAAGGCATCTGTTAGGATAACAGTATGTGGATAATATTCTACTAAAATTGCCGCAATTTTTAATTATTAAATGATAAGCACAATTCAAACTGGCAATTTGCTATTAAAGCTGCATAGGAAATGAGAAAGGAATTAAAAACGAGAGGATAACCATAACCATACCATATGGATAATAAATTTTATAAACCCAAAAGTACCAGCTGCTGAGCACTGCTACAAAAGTATTAACGATTTTTTCATTATTCAATTTTATGTGATCTTTTTCAAATACTCCAATAATTCGATAAATCTTAGATTTTCTTTGAATCAGCCAGTTAGAATTTAAATGTTTAACAAGCGAGGTTTTACAGCACTATCTATCAGTACTTGGAGTCGTAAGTCATTGAAGAAGATAAATGAACATCGGTCATTGCTTCTAATCCAACAACCTGCGCGGACGAACAATAATAGGTCACACGCGGTAAGCCTCTACGCCGCTGGACGATGTAGTCCTAACTCGCAATCAATCTTTGTTCATCCTGAATCCATTGAGTAATTGGTCGCTATTAACTGCAATTCCAGTTTGTATGTTCGATTTATAGCGTTTCGAGCAATTTTAATAATTTATGTAAAAGATATATAAGTATATACGGGGAGTCGACTTTACCAGGTTAAGAGAAATAGTTTCACATCAGTTGAATACAAATTTCTACATAAATAACTTTTTGCACGAATAAATAAAATGTTTGCATTACATAATATTGTAACCCGAGACAATTATGTAAAACGGCCACGTCTTACGCACTCAATGATCTGGATGAGTTCAAATGATTTTTTTACTCTTAAGGCTCTTAGTTGTGGTGATAATAGCAGATAGCCGTTAGATAATATAGGGGCCGTAAGTACCTTAACATTTTTGCACCTCGGACGACCATGATATTTTCGTACATTTCCGCCCATCCTCCTATATATTAAACACTTAAACACAAATCAGTTTGATGAATTGAAATTGAACATTAAAAACTATACTTAAAATCAGCTTTATGAATGGAATTATTAATTTTATTAAAACTCTTCCGAACACTTCCATAGCTATTTATTATTGTGTTTTTGTGACGCTTAAAAAATCCTACACAGTTTTCATAATACATAAATATCGATAATATATTATATAAACATCACATATGTATTCCTGCCATATTCCCCCTGTTATAAATTCGCGAAAAATAATGTCGGGCAGTTCTAATAGTTACTTCTTCTTCTTCTTCCTCTTTTAGAAGGCGTATCGCTTGTTTCGTTCCGGTTTCCTCCTCGTCTAAGCAACTCTTGCGAGGTTGACTTCCAACTATCTCGCCAACGTTTAGGTGGTCGTCCAGTAGGTCTTCTGCCATGGGGTACGTTGTTGCGAATTATTATGGCCATTCTGTCGGGGCCCATTCTACTGACATGCTGGTTCCATTCTCTGCTTCTCTGCCTTTTCCATCTGACAACGTCATTTGTTTGGCACTTTTCTCTTATGTCTACATTTCTCTGTCTGTCCTTCAATGTGTATCCAGTTATCATTCTTAAGGTCTTCATTTCAGTAGTTCGTAGGATTCTCTTTGTTACTGATGTTTCAGCTCTGGTTTCCGCACCATATGTCATCACTGGTCGTACGCAGGTTTTGTATATTCTTGACTTACATTCTCCACTCAAATGTTGTTTTTCCATATGGGATATTTAAGATGTCCTGATATTGCGGCAGCTTTATTGGCTTGTTTCCTTACTTCTTCTTCCAGGAATCCGGAGCGGGTAATTTTGCATCCCAGATATTCGAGTGACATTATCTGATCAATAATTTTGTTTTTTATTACCAATTTGCACCGTAGAGGCTCCTTTGCAATGGTCATGCATTTGGTCTAATTTGTGGAAATTTGCATGTTAAGTTTTTCTGCTTGTCTGTTAAAAGCTTGTAGCATTCTTTGGAGGTCGTCCTCTGACTCTGCAATAAGTACTGCGTCATCGGCATGGCATAATATATTTACTTTATGTATTCCCATTCGATATCCTAATCTAGTATTCTTAACGGTTTTTATTAATTGGTCCATGATTGTGTTGAATAGCAGAGGGCTGAGACTGTCGCCCTGGCGAATACCAGTTGTAGTTCGGAGATGCTGCGTTAAGGTAAAGTTTGTTCTTATTTGGGTTGTTGTGTTTGTGTTTAAGTCCTTGATAAGTTCTGTGAGTTCTTTGGAGACATTACTGCTTTCCAAGATGGTGATAATGTCTTTTAGTTGGACTCTATCAAAGGCCTTTTTTAAATCTATATCTATAGGCTGGAGAGTTATATTCTAAAGATTTTTCAGCCAGTTGCCTGAGTATGAATAATGCATCGGTAGTGGAGCGGTTTCTTCGGAATCCTTGTTGTTCCTCACTTATTGGCACTGTTGAGGAGATTTTATCCGCAATGATCTTACTCAAAGTTTTAGCGAGGTGCTCAGTAATGTTATCCCTCGATAGTTTGCTGGGTCTGTTTTGTCTCCCTTTTTAAAAATGGGTATTGTTATACTTTGTTTCCATTCCTCTGGTATTTTCTTATACCAGGGTTTAATGTTCGGTCTCCTATTGTGTGAAACAGTGCGTGTTCCTAGAGCTTCCTTAGCACCTTTGCAAATGTTTTCTTTCAGTTTGTTCCAAGCTGTGTTAGGAGTATCAAACTGTACTATGGGGTTAAGAGTGACATGTGTTTGGCATCTGTTTGAGTAAAGTTGTTTAGTGCTTTCGTGATTGAAGGATTCTATATTGAATTTTTCAGTTTTTATCGATGGTCTTTTTTTCGATAGCGGCGTACCTATTCGTATTTTTCCTAGGACAAGTTTGTGATCTGTTCCGACGTTGGCTGAAGATAATACTCTTATGTCTAATATTTGTTGAGGTAAGAAACTTCGGTTGGTGATAATGTAATCGATTATTGATTTATTGTTTCTATTGTCATAGAAGGTGTATTGTGTTATGGGTAAAATATGTGTTGTTTATTCTCGGTTCATTCTGTCCACATAATTCGTTCAAAATTTCGCCGTTTCTATTAGTTATATTCTTGTTATATTTTTGTTTTATACCATCCACTACCTCGTTTTCAATTCTTGCATTTAAATACCCTAACAGAATTATCTTTTCATATGTTGGTATTTTGTCTATCGCTGACTGTAGATGTTCGTAGAAGTCCATTGACATTTCTTCAGGTTTATTAATGTCGGGTGCATACACTGATATAATGTGAATGGGTTAGTCAGACATAATCTTTACTCTCAGCTTTCTTTTGTCTTTCTATATTTTGTTCGTATTTATCATTTATAGCTACTCCAACGCCTGATGTTGCTCTTTGCTCTTTTGGCATGCCTGAGTATATTAAAATGTAGTTATTTAGTTTTGTTGTTCCTTTCTTTTTTGTTTCGAAAAGTGCACATATGTCTATTTTATGTTCGTTGAGTTCGGGAATTAGTTCATGATCTTTCGAATAGAGTGTTTTTATATTCCAGCATGCAATTCTTATTTGTTGCTTCTTCATATAAAGTTTGTTCCTTGTCCTTTTTCTCGCGTGGGTCGTTATCTGTGAAATCAATCCTGGTTCTGAGGCTGTGCTTTGAGCATGTGAGTGTTTTACCTTATGCAGGTGGCTAGCCTTACCTAAGAACCCTCCTCCTTTATCCGGGCTTGGGACCGGCAGTGAAAACTGTGAGCTACTCACTCCACCCACAGCTGCCCCAGGCGGAGATTCTAATAGTTACATTGAATATAAGTGTCGTTTTTGCACAAATATAACCGACTAACGGACATATAAACAAGCGTAATATGGATAATGTTGGGACTGGTCAATTGGCCACTTCTTAATTGACTAGATATAAAATGTTTTAAATAACATCTTGCAATTGTAGATTGTTATCTATCATTATCTATTAATAACGTGAATTTTATAATAAATTATTATGCGCTTGTGATGTCCAATTTACCGCAAAGGCGACGTAATACACAATATAAATTTCATGGTATTTTTAAAATTATTTCTGTGAATTGGTTGGTGAATTGACCAGTCAATTGACACAAAAAAATTTGACCAATCAATTCCACAACCCCAAATATGCAACAAGTTTATAAACTTCAAGTATTGTTTATAAATTTTGTTACTTAATACATTATTTATCATGGTTTTTGTTTATTCGTTGAAATAACCCGGGAATTTGGTTCCACGAAAGTTCAAATCATCTAGAAATCTAACTCTTTTCTTTTTTCAGAATCATTAGCGCAAGAACTGGAGATGGAGCGCAAATCTAGGCAGCAGCATGCCGAGAGGGAGGTGAAGTCACCCCTTCAAGACCGCACGGGTTACTATAAAAATCCTGTGATGTTTACGAGTAGCGCAACCTAATCCTTTACTGCATGTAAATAGAGCAAAAAGGAAATCAACATTCCCAATTTACGAATGTTACGATCAATAATGTGAAAAATGTAATTAGTTGCTAAGGCTTCATTATCTGGTATAAATCAAGCAAGTGCATTGCCAGCGGTAAAATAAAAAGAAAACAATGGATTCTTTGGATGATACTGTTAAGTCTGCTCGAATTGAAGTTGAAGTTGTTTGCTTTTGGACTCTAACGCGGTGAAATTTCCTAAATTTGTTATACATTTAGTATACATTCTAGTAATCGTGTAATCTGTAAATAGTTACTACACAATGTATAAGTTATGTTTACTAAGACTGATTTTTGGGCATAATAGATAATTTACTATTTCCGAAATTATTACTTAAGTAGTGAATTATAAAAATATTAAATTATTCGATTAACTTGTTAACAAACAGGCGTTGAGCGAATGTCTGCTGCAAATGTTTACGTCTTTAACTGTCTTTGCGTTTGTTTATATGCTATTAATTTGACTGTGCTTAAAAAGAAATCTTTGATCATTTTTTTAGTCGGTTAGAAATTTGCTGTTACCGGAAGCAAAATCGTTCAGAAAAGGAAACAAAAATTATCTACGCGAAATTGAAAATGTCAGTGTATGACGCCGACGCCTGCATCATTTTGACAATCAACGTAGTAATGGAGGAGTTAACCGTAGATTTTACATTACATTTAGGTACATACGTACTTATAATAATGTTAATCAAAATCCTAATACAGCGTTTTGGATTACATTAGTTCTGTACAGTTGAACACAATTGCAAATGCCCAATTTTGCTTAGTTTAGGTTATTTTCACTATAATTCTACAAAATTTACAAATTGTTTTTTGACTAAAAAGTATGCTCGTTTTCTATAGTTTCTGATAAACAATGAATTTTGAACATAAGTTTTTGTAAAATTAATATTAAATAGAATTTTATTACTTTTTGGAACAACATCAAAACCAAGGTTCCCATAAAAAATAACCTAATTATCTATATGGTTAACGCCTCCTTTTTAGTAGCATTGCATACAGACATATTTAGTATTTTATTCAATATTGAATATATCAACGGGAAGATACCGTCATTTCGTGCAATAGAAACAGTTATGGACATTTTTGATAACCCTCGTATGCACAAATTTACAGTATACATACTAATATATAATACACATACGCCTAGTAGAATTATTTCAGTTTCCAAAATAGACGTAGTTAGTCGGATGTTCGCAAAAGTAAATGTTAGGTTATTTTTAAGGGTGTGGATGTATGTATTTATTGTAAATATATTTGTGTGTGTGCCTTGTAGAAAATACAGGATCCTATTATAAAATAACGTAGTTTTTCTTCTCATCCACAATGACGATGTAAAATTCCCACCACGTAAATCATCAATGGTAATTTTTATTGCTAAAGAAAGCTGGGATGGTAAGGTGCCGTTTTGGAATACACTTCAAATATAATTCGAGACCAACCTACGTTGCAAGTAACAGTTAAGGCATAAAATATTTTACGATATACAGGAGGCACAATCAGTCTGTTCACTGAAGCGCAATACAAACTTACAAATCGACTTACCGTCATGCTTGAAAAATTTGGTTTGTTGCAGGTTGTTATAAAAAAGTTCGGGAAAATACACAACTTGGATACCAGCTTCAGAATTGAACTCGAAAATTTTACTTTTCTAGAATTCCATTATTAAATTTAGTCATTAATCAGTCAAGCTGTTTTCATTTTACATAAATTTTGTCTTACCGGAACATTTGAGATGTTTGAGATATTGATAATTTTGTAATTATCACCCACATAATGGCTGCATCATCATCAAATTATTATGGTATGGTCGACCTTTTAAATTAATAACAAAATTATATTACCATTTGATGGAACAATATATTGGCGAACTTCTGCATACGTTTGAAATGCTATAATTATTCAGCAAGAATTTCATTCAAGAAAATCCGGAAACCTATAGATGTGTGGTTGTGTATTGTCAATTCGAAAATAGTATGCAAAAATTTATCGTCTGCTCATTGCACTAGCGATAGATAATGTTTAAAAATGTGTTTTAGTATTTATATCATCATTTTAAATACCAATCACGAGTCTAATTGCTTTAATTTTTTAAATTAAAGCAATTAAATTAATTAGAATGAATTAAAAAGAATTTAAAAAAGTTAATAACTTTTTTTCTATTACATTTTAAATGTAGAAAATGTATGTCGAGTCTCCTCCTTCGAACTACCTCCAAAATCCCAAAACATCCTCTGGGATTTTGCGTTGGCCAAAAATGAAGAAAAAAGGCTAAATTTAGATAAAGGCTGCGGAGGCAAACGTCCCTCAATTTTCAAATTAATCAACGAGAAATATTTCCTAATATCTTTATCATGTGCTCCAGCGAACTGTCTATAAACGAATTCGAAAAATCTCGTCCGATTCAAAATTAAATAATGTCCGAGTTTCCCCTAACGAAATTCCGTATCGAAAGGACAGACATTCCATCGATTCCGAATGGCCATAACTTTATTTAATATTTCGAATGTTTTCTGTTCCGTCGCATTTCAGTGCCCTTTGAAGGTTTGTTTTTTAACTTTTCTGTGGTCGAGAAAATTGTAAAAATATTATAAAATGAAAAAGGCATTAACATGGAAAGATAACTAAAAATCAAATTGGACTATCAATCATTGTTAGAAACGGTGAAAGCAATATCGAGATGGCTAATCATAATTATTGATTAGGTTATGATACGCGTGCACTTCAAAAGGGATTAACGGCCCTATTATTGACCAAACATCACGAGATTTGATATTTTAGATAAGAACTGAAACATTCAGAAGATTAAAACGGTCAAGCTATGAACCCTTTCAGCAGGGTTCACTTTGCAATTCGCTTTGTAGTCCTTCCTCTAATGTTATACAGGAAACAGCTCTTTGTGAAGTGTATATTTATTTGAAAAGGGTTATGCTGAACTCAATTTTTAAAAAACAATAAATTCTCACAAATTGTATTTTAGTCGTGTTTTGCGTTTTAAACATTTTGAATAATTGGTATCTAAAGCACAGTGTATTTAATTTATTTTAAGAAAAATATTTAATCATAACTATCGTAATCAAATTCGAATGAGATGTCTAGGATTGTAGAAATATTTTTATAATAGCAATTTCAAATCTGAGTTATACTATATTTTCAAATAAATTTATTGCCCGAGCAACGAGACCAATACAACACCACATCTGGTCAGGTGTGGTACATTAAAAAATTCTAGTATATTTATACTGTTGCTATTACGGTGACGAACGTCACAATGGTGATCGTTATATATTTGCCCTTTAAGTTCGTCTCTCACTTAGCGACTTTGCCAAAGCCGCAAATTACCCAACTTTAAATGTTTATTTTGTGTTACGTTAATAGATGGTAAGAAACAATAATTGCTAAATAGCATGTCTTTATTCTAGTGACATTTCCGAATGCGGCCACCGGCAAGTTACTAAAGAATTGCATCCGCATAGAATAAAATTAGAATATATATGAGCAGATTGATACACTACCAATTCGCACGAAGTAGGTACATAAAACTTGTAAAATCTGTACAATTTAGTTTTGGTTAGTTTTTTTTGTATTTTATCCATTTGGTTTAATTTCTCTAACCCCCGAAAATGTGTCAAATCTGGCAACTGCAGTTAGTATGTAAATTTATCTTGAAGAACTTCAAAGAGACTTCAACTTCCAACCTTTCAGCTTTGTGAAAATTTCTTTAAAATAAATGAACACTAGCCACCGTACTATCAAATTTATACCATAAACATAAGGCCTATATAGTATCACACCCAGCTTATCAAATTTCCTCTAATTGTGCCGTATTTAATCTGGAAATGACTGCACAGAAACAACGTTCCGTTCGGAATTCTCATCGGCCTCTTGTCATAAAGTCGAATGATTAATGACCTCGTTGATTGTTCCAATAAAAACAAACTCCACTAATTATACATACGCGAGATTTTTGCGAACCAGTCCAGGAAATGCACAAGAAAGGACTAAACACGATTTGAACGTTCGCCTGTTTTCTAGTTCTAATTTCTCTAATTCCTATTATAGAACAATTACCCAACTTCACATCATGGAGTACGGAACTAAACCCCAAAATGAAAAAGTATTCAGCGATTAATATTCCATATCAAAATATGCAAGTTATGCACTTTTTTGGACTTTGGATATGCGCTTTGACTTTAAGAACAAGACTTATAAATTAAACTTTTCCTAAAAATACGTAAACCAATAATAAAAAATAATAAAATAATATGCAGTGCACCGATAAAAATCAGCCAATTTAAGCAACGCTTAATAAGTCTATGGCCTGCTAGAATGGCTTCTTGTTGTCTCCATATCAACATTTTCTGATTAGTTTCCTTCAAGCTTGAGTGTTTGAGAGGAAGATAAAAAATATACGCTGTTTTCAGATTTTCGTGTTGCGACGTATTAATTTTTTAAAGAAACTTCAACAGGCTACTGTAATACTATTTACAAACCTTCCCATATTGGTGACAGGTAAAGACCTGAGTTGCGATCAAGTTTGTTTGGTCGCTTATAGATTTCTATAGATTCTCGGATTTTTCGTTTGTAGAAAAATTGATTACATGCAAGAATTTCAGTTTTATCGAATAAAATTTTATAACCGGTTTCGTGATTGTGATGCTGATGAGTTTATTTGTCTTAGTCCTAGGGCTCTTTCATGTTCTTTGATATTTTTGATCCTGTCCTGACATTTTTTAATTAATATGAGAAAGTTTGGTGCCCGATTGTCTGGATTTTAATATATCTGAAATGATGTTCAGAGTTTCAGGAATAGGGGCTTAAAAGAATATCCTGCGGGTCTAATGCAAAGCTTTTTAATTGTTCAATGAAATGAAAGGAATTAAGTACGATACCATTAGTTTTCCCTATAAAGGGTTTTAATATAGAAGCTACCTATTTTTCTAGAGAATATGTTATAGAACTAATAGTGCTGAAAATAGGTCGAAGGGGTAATCCTGGTTGAGATCAGAAATTTTAATGTTATGAGGGATGACAGAGAATCTAGAAATTGACGAAAAGATTCACGATGTTCCTACAGATGGATCATATCGTCAACTTACAAAAGATCCTATGTTATCTCAACCTTAAATCTGCTATTAAGGCTTCTCTATCAGTTCAAAATTAAATTCCGAAAAATTTTCACGGTTAAAAAAATCCCTGATGCATTTGTCTGCGACACCATAAAAGAAGACAATATTTCTAAGACTTCTTGGACTAGACACTTTTGAAAACCGCACAATTTTCACATCTTTCCTGTTTGGTTACTCAAGTGTCCATTTAAAGATATTTTGCCCAATTTCTAGGTCCTTAATTGAATTACTAAAAATCAAAACTTTTACGACAACTTTAAATATCGAATCGCCACAATCACCGTGCAAAATGCGTTTATAGAAAAAGGTAATGTTTTCTTACATAAGGGTCTCTCACTAAAGTTCAATAGAATTCCTAACTCTCAAAGGAAATAATTCGATCTCGAGCCGCTGCCTCTTACTAATTCGACTCCTTGGTATTCAAGTATAAATTCCCGATCTCTAGTTCATGAACCTGGGAATTACTATTACCTAAGAACAGCTGTTCTACCTCTCGTTTTAAGGAAAAAATTGTGGCCTAGTTTAAAGAATTGGGCTGGTTCAGAAATGGACACATTTAAGGTTTTAATTGGAAAGCAACTACTATTGAGGGTTGTGTTGTTATTTTGCAAATGAGGTAATACATAACGACGTAGCTTAGTGCGAAGTATACACGTGACTAGTTGTTCAGTTTCCGACCACAAAACAAATTGCAATCAAGGCCTGATAACAAGAATAATTTGAGTAATATTTGCCCCCCGTGCGAAATCCATCAATTTCCGAGATAGCTAATGCCTTAGACCCGCACAAAATCGCAACTCATTACCTTTCGACTCAACGACTCCATTTAAAAATTATTTTCCCCCGAAGACATTAAAAATCGCTATCTCGGATTCGGAAAGCGCCGCGGCGGTAAATTTGCAAAAAGATTAATCAAATGCTTTTCGGTATGAATTGTATCAAAACATATTTCCGGCGCAGACGGAAGAATAAATCACCAGTGGAATCCATTATGGCCTGAATTAACGTCATCTTGAAAAGAATTAAACGGAATGGAATTAATTATGAGATTGATGGGTTCCGCAGGAGCCGGCGCGGCATCGGTAGCCCCAATACG